CCGTCACCGTCACCATCACCATCACCATCACAATCACCATCATCATCAACAACATCATCATCCTCATCATCATCATAATCAGAAGCATCATCATCATCATCATCGTCATCATCATCAGCAGCATCATCATCAGCAGCATCACCATCATAGTCATCATCATCGCCACTATCACCATGGCCATCACCATCACCATCACTATCACCACCACCATCACCATCACCATCAACATCATCATCAGCAGCAGCATCGGCATCAGCATCAGCATCAGCATCCGCATCAACACCATCAGCAATATCATCAGCATCATCATCAGCATCGTCATCATCTTCATCATCATCATAAGCATCATCATGATCATCATCAAAAGCGTAATCATATGTATCCGCAGTATCAGCATGATCAGCATCATCAGTATTTTCATCACCAGCAGCATCATCGTCATCGTCAGCATCATCACCATCATCATCATCATCAGCATCATCAGTCTCCTCCATCTCCTCCTCTTCCTGCTGTCCCTCATCCTACGCTGCTTCCATTTCGGATTCCAGAGTCCACTATCTAATCCTCCTCCTCCTACTCAACAGCTTCATCATAATCAGCAGTAGCAGCAGCACCAGCAGCATCATCATCAGCAACAGCATCATAAGCATCAGCATTAGCAGCATCAATAACAGCATCATCATCATCACCATCAGCATCATCACCATCGTCATCATCATCATCATCACCACCACAATCACCATCACAATCACCATCACAGTCAGCATCAGCATCAGCATCAGTATCAGCATGGTGAGCCCCATCACCATCACCATCACCATCGACAGCATCATCATCCTTATCAACATCATCAACATAATCGTCATTATCGTCATAATCAGTATCCTCGGCATCAGCATCAGCATCCGCATCGTCACCATCAGCAGCAGCATCATCATGCCCATCAGCATCATCGTTGCCATCAACTTGATCATTAAAATCCTCAACTGCATCATCATCACCATAGCCATCATCAGCAGCATCATCATCATCTGCACCATCATCATAATCAAAATCAGCATCATCAATATCCTCCATCTCCTCAGTTTCCCCTTCCTCATCCTCCGACTCTTCCACTCCAGACCCAATGTTCCACTATCGAATCAATATCCTCCTCCTGCTCCTCCTCTTGGTCATCCTCCACCTCAACAGCAGCATCCTCGTTATCGTCAGCAGCAGCATCAGCATCATCATCATCAGCAGCATCATCATAAACATCGTCAACACCATCACCCGAAAATAACATCATCCTCATCATCATCATCATCATCATCATCATCATCATTATCATCATCATCATCATCATCATCATCATCATCATCAGCATCATCATCAGTATCATGACGACCACCATCATCATCAACATCAGCATCAGCATCAGCATCGTCATCTCGTCATTGACATCGCCGTCGTCGTCACCACCAGCATCACTGCAACAGCATCATCAGTAGCCGCCACCGTGCCTCGTGACACGAAGTGGAGCGCCCTCGGGTACTCAGGGGTTCCCTGTTCTCTATACTCAAGACTGGGGGAGTACAGTATTCTAAGGACGGGGGGCCAAAATTATCAAAGTTTCCCGGCGTTCCAGCACGCTCTCGCGCGCTTGGGCTCGGTCGCATGGATGTTCCAGAGGGCCCCAAGACAGGCCAGGAGGACCCCAAGAAACAACCAGGAGGCCTCCAAGACAGCCCAAGAGCGCTACAAGACCCCCAAGGTGGCTCCAAGACGGCCCAAGAAGCCTCAAGAGCGCTCCAAGTGGACCCCGAAGAGGGCCCAAGGAGGCAAAAATCATTGATTGTCCTTGTGTTGTTATATGTGTTTCGCGTTCTCGCGTGTTCGGGCTCCCGACGCTCCAAAATGGCTCCAGAGGCCTCCAAAACCGCCCCAAGACGGTCCTAGGGGCCCCCAAGAGGGCCCCGAGACAATCCAAAAGGGCCCCAGAACGGCACAAGAGGGCCCCAAGAGGGCCACAAGAGGGGCCCAAGAGGGGGAACACGAACTGATAATTCGAGCTTTCCGTCCCCCCAGGAGGCCCTAAGAGGCCCCCAAGAGAGCCCAAGAGGCCACCTGGAGGCCCCACGAGGCCCAAGAGGCCCCACCTCCTCCTCCTCCTCCTCCTCCTCCTCCTCCTCCTCTCCTCCTCCTCCTCCTCCTCCTCCTCCTCCTCCTCCTCCTCCTCCTCCTCCTCCTCCTGATCTTCCCCGCCATCCTCCCCGAAGTGTTGCATGAAAGGTTTCCACAACGGCTGGAGGAACAGGTGGTCCGATAGCTTGGCAGAGCTCTTGCCACAACGCTCGGCCACATGGGCGATTCCAACAGACAGGGGGCGGCGGGGATTCGCCGCAGGCGTCTTCGATTATCATCGTCATCAGCACCACCATCCGTATCCCCTCCTCCTCATCCTCATCCTCTCCTCATCCTCATCCTCATCCTCATCATCATCCATCATCATCATCATCATCATCATCATCATCATCATCATCATCATCATCATCATCATCATCATCAGCAGCAGCAGCAGCAGCAGCATCATGAGCAGCAGCAGCATCAGCATCATCATCAGCATCATCATCACCAACACCACCACCACCACCACCATCACAACCACCATCACAACCACCACCACCATCCTCATCAGCATCCTCATCATCATCATCATCATTTTCAGCAGAGGCATCATCATCAGCAGCATCATCGTCATAGTCATCAGCATCATCATCAGCATCATCATCAGCATCAGCATCAGCATCAGCATCATCATCAGCATCATCATCATCATCAGCCGCATCAGCATCAGCATCAGCATGAGCATCGTCATCATCATCACCATCACTATCATCATCGGCATCATCATCATCATCATCATCATCATCATCATCAGCATCATCATCATCATCATCATCATCATCATCATCCTCATCATCCTCATCATCAGTTTCATCATCATCACCACCACCACCATCATCATCAGCAGCATCATCATCAACAGCGGCATCATCATTATCATTATCATCGTCGTCATGATCATCAGCAGCAGCATCATAATCATCAGCATCATCATAATCACCACCACCGTCACAATCAGGATCACAAGTTCGTGATCAACATCATCGTGTCCAGCATCAGCATCATCAGCATCATCATCATCAGCAGCAGCATCATTAGCGGCAACAGCATCATCGTCATCATCAGCATCATCATAATCACATTCATCGTCATAATCTGCATCAGCATCAGCATCATCAGCAGCAGGAACATCATCATCATCATAATCATCATCAGCAGCAGCATCACCAGCATCATCAATCTCATCGTCATCGTCATCGTCGTCATCCTTATCTTCGTCAGCAGCAGCAGCACCAGCATCATCGTCATTATCATCATCATCATAATCATCATCATCATCATCGTCATCATCATCATCATCATCATCATCATCATCATCATCATCATCATCATCATCAATATCATCATCGTCATCATCATCGTCATAATCAGCATCATCATCATCCCTCCTGCCGTCCATGAGCCTCGAACCTGCAGGGCTGGAATGCACCAGGACTCGGGAGGCCGGCGGCTGACGCCCTGGGCGGCTGCTGCTCCCGGGGGGCGGCTCCGCAACGTGGCAGATCGGCACCTGCGCCGCCGCGCTTCTGCAGACTCGCTGGCGCCACTCCAGGGGCGGCGGCGCGGGGGGGGGCCGCGCGCCAGCAGAGATGGGCGGCGGATCTCGCTTCACGAAAGGGGCCCAGGGGCACGCAGATAGATGGGCGCGCAGATCCCAAGATCCCCGACGTGTCTCATATCTTCTGGACGTCAGTCTCCCCCGCCACTTCCCATATTTTCCGTTAGCTTTCCCTGGGAGTCGAAGTTCATGTGTGTCTGTGTTTCTTGTCCCCCTCCTGGGAGATGGGCGGCGTTCCGCACGTCGCGGCCGCCGCCGCCCAGGTTCCAGGGCCGGGCAGCCAGCACCAGGCTCGCGGGCTCGCCAAGTGGCGCTGTGGACACTCGGAGCTCCGAGCGGAGAACTTGGATCTGCGCTGGACCCCCCCCCTTCGCCGGCCATCGGCACCACCCGTTCGCTCGCAGTGCGCAAGACGGCGCGTAAGGCGCTGGCATATTGCCGACTACTGGGAGGCCTCTTCTCCCCTCCAGAGGCCTCCCCAAGATTGCCTAGATTGCGGGTAAGGCGGGCAGTGGCGTTATTGGGGGGCCTTATTTCACGACGTAAGACGGAGCGCCTATCGGTTAGTTATTGGACGAGGCATCGGTGATGCGTCGGCGACGTCGGCGATGCATCGGCGACTTAAGCGTAGACGCGCCGCCGATGCGTCGGCGACGCGCGGCGCGACCCTCCGACCCCGCCTGGTAAGAGGCGGAGGAAGCGGAGGAGCCGCCGCCCCCCTGCTCTGCACAGGCACCGCCGCAGGCTCGACCCTGAGGGAAACATCCACCCAGAGTTGAAGGGGCCCAGGGGCACACAAATAAGCACACACACACACAAATCCCAGGATCCCCCATATTTTCCCATATTTTCTGGGTCTCTGTCCTCCCCCCCCCCACTTCCCATAGTTTTGCATATGTTCCTGGGAAGCGACGATCCATGGTGTCTGCGTGTTTTCCCCTCCTGAAGAATGGACGATACATCGCCGACGAGACCGGCACCAGGCCCCCGAGGGCGAGCCCCGAAGATCAGTGGGCGATCGGGGATGGAAGCGTTCCCCCCTCTGGGCACACCTCCCCCCTCACGCTGCTCCTGATCATGCCCAGGCCGCCCCGCCCTCAGCCGTGCGGGAGCCCAGGGCCAGGCCCGCGGCCGCAGCGCTCCCCGGAGGCCCGAAAAACATCGGGGCAGCTCGCCGGTCGACTTTACAGGGCGGGGGGGGGGCTCTGCCAACCTCCGACTCGCCCTGAAGCCAATGCCACCCTTGCCCCTGACGCCCACCACTCCCCTCGCGGGTCCTGCCGAGGCGCGCGGCGTCGTCTCGCCGTTGCCTCGGGAGATGCGCTGCACTTTTGAGGCTTGGAGACGGGCACCCACACCAACACGGTGGAGTCGCCTCCTCCGGGGAAAGGTGGAAAGGTGGTCACAGACTTTGGCGCTGGTGGTAATCAGCCAGTGACCTGGGAAGCCCGAGTACCACCACCATCACCGAGATCGAAATACTCTTCCCCCGGTGGAGCCACACCGCCGATATTGGCGTTGGCGTCGACCTTGCAGGCCTCCCAGCACGGCCCTTCCTGTGCCCGCCACCCCTTCTCGGCAGCCGCTCACCCCCTCCCATCCGTCGCTGCCGTCGCTCGCTGCGCTCTCTCGCCCAGCTCCACGTCCCTGGCATCCGTCCCCCCTCGGGCCAGACGCGGGGCAGGAGGGAGAGGAGGAGGAGGAGGAGGAGGAGGAGGAGGAGGAGGAGGAGGAGGAGGAGGAGGGAGGAGGGAGGAGGAGGAGGAGGAGGAGGAGGAGGAGGAGGAGGAGGAGGAGGAGGAGGAGGAAGAGGAGGAGGGGGAGGAGGAGGAAGAAGAGGAGGAGGAGGAGGAGGAGGAAGAGGAGGAGGCGGGGGAGGAGGGAGGAGGCGGCGGTGTTTGTCTCCCTCCCCCCTGCTGTCCTCGACCTCATCCTCCACCTCCTCGTCGTCCTCCCCCTCCTCGTCCTCGTCCTCATCCTCCTCCTCCTTCCGCCTAAGTTGTGCGGACATAGCATGTACAGCTGTTGCGCCAAAGAGGCATAAAAGTCCCGACTCAGGCGAAGTAACAAAACAAACAGTAACCAAAAGCACGCAGCAGTAAGAAGACGGGCAGCGGAAAGCAGGAGGTGGGAAAACAGGCAGTGAGAAGCCTGACACGCAAGAGCCCGCCAGGTCTTTCCTCCTTCCTCCTCCTCCTCCTCCTCCTACTCCTCCTCCTCCTCCTCCTCCTCCTCCTCCTCCTCCTCCTCCTCCTCCTCCTCCTCCTCCTCCTTCTCCTTCCCCTCCTCCTCCTCCTCGCCAGTTTTTAGGGCGGGCCGGGCGTTCCGCCTGAGACTACTCACGACCCTGAAGCTTAAAATTTGGCAACAGTTTCACAGATGGAGGGCGAGTCATTTTCAAAATGTGGCTCTCACCTTAGCGCCGCGCACATTCGTTTTAGAAATCCCACCAGACCTTTGGGCAACAGGTGGTCTAAGGAGGATCTCTTTCCTCTTCCACGACCCCTCTTCCCTTCGGGGAGGGGAACTCTCCCCCTCCCCTCCCTGAGGTTTTTCGGGGAGGGATCGCGAGGTGTCGGAGGCTCCTTTTTCGGCCATTGGAGGGCCAGTTTCTGCCACCCCTCACGAGGATCGTGGCCCCCGAGGGGGGGAACTAAATCGAGTACCCCCATCTTTTGACCGACCGCCTCCAAGATGGCCCCAAGAGGGCCGCCAGGGCTCCTAGGAGGCTCCCAAGAGGGCCCAAAGAGCGCCGCAAGAAGCCCCAAGAGGCCTCCAAAATGCACCCGAGAGGCCCCCAAGAGGCCCCCGAGCGGCCTCAGAGAGCCCAAGTTGACCTCCAAGATGGCTCAAGATAGCCCAAGCTGGCTCAAGATGGCTCCCAAGATGCTCCAAGAGGCCCCAAGACCGCTCCAAGACGGCTAGAGAAGGCCACGGAGCCTCCCCAGGAGGCCGCCAAGAAGCCACGCGGACCTGGAGATGGCCCCGACACGCCGTCCAGGCCGGCCTCCCTCGCTGTTTGACTGTGCGTGTCTCTTCCTCTCCCCCCCATCAGCTCTCATGCGCATCATTTATGAATGGGCTGGTGGGGACGCGCGAAGCGTCAAGAAATTCGCAAGAGGTTCACGGATTGAGGGCGGTTCCTTTCCAAAATGTGCCAAAAGCCTTAGCGCCGCGCACATTCGATTTATTGTTTATGTGCAAGAGTTTCACGGGTTCCCATATTCAGCGTACCAGGAATGGCGTTTTGGACGGATTCAGGATTAGGAGGGCGTCTTGAAGTCCCAGGAATCTCGTTCAGGCACGATTCAGGATCGTCAAGACGCAACAGTCAGGTTGTTTCGTGGCGTTGGAATCCCGAGAACAATGTTTTGGCATGCCTCAGGCTCTTCAAACGGTCGTCTCCCACCGAGGCAGTTGCCTAGTGGAAATGAACCGTTGTAGGGGCCCCTTGACGAGGGAGCTTGGAGGGAGGGTTGATTACACCATCGTTGACGACTCTTGGGTGTACACTGGTCCTCCTCCTTCCCTCCTCCTCATCCTCCTGCCTCCTGCCTCCTGCCCTCCTGCCTCCTGCCTCCTGCCTCCTGCCTCCTGCCTCCTGCCTCCTGCCTCCTCCTGCCTCCTGCCTCCTCCTGCCTCCTGCCTCCTCCTGCCTCCTGCCTCCTGCCTCCTCCTCCTCCTCCTCCTCCTGCCTCCTGCCTCTTGCCTCATGCCTCCTCCTGCCCTCCTGCCTCCTGCCTCCTCCTCTCTCTCCTCCTCCCCCTCTGCTCTCCGGGGGGGGGGGCGGGTGCTCGGCGAGTCGTCGCGGTCGGCGAGGCCGAGGCCTGCCGCCTCCCGGCAGCATCGGCGAGCAGGAGCGCGCCCGGGCCCACAGACGTCACCGGACGCCCACGGGAGCGCGCAGACTTTTTTGTTTGATCTGCGGGGCGAGCGCGAACCTCTTCTGGAGGCCTGGAAATTGGCACCAACATCAGCACAGGGTGTTGCCTCCACATGGGGATGATGTTCCTAGATTTCGGTGCTGGTGGTAATAATTCGGTCACCTTGGAAGCCAGAATATTACCACCATCACCGAAATCGGGATCGTCTTCCCTCGGTGGAGGCACACCGCCGATCTTGGTGTTGGTGTCAACCTCTAGGCCTGCGACTCTTCCGCTGAAAGCTGGGCGGGCTGCGCACAGCTTTAACGAGGGAGACGGGGTGCAGGAAGGCGGGGCCTCAGGCGGCCGGAGAGGGCGAAGCCCAGGGGTGCAGGCGGTGCCGAAGTGGATGTGCAGGAGCAGGGGCGCCGCGGACAGGTGCGTAGGGGACTCCCGGCAGCATCGGCGAGCAGGAGCGCGCCTGGGCCACAGACGCCACCAGACGCCCACGGGAGCGCACAAGCACGGGGGCGCGTCGAGGAGCGGGTCCTCAGCCTCTGCCACACGGCCACACTGAAGGGGCCCTGGGACACACAAATAAATACATACAAATAGAAAAAGACTCCCCATATTTTCCCATATTTTCTGGGTCTCTGTCTTCCCCCCCACTTCCCATATTTTCCCATCTTTTCCTGGGAGTCGACGATTAATCGTGTCTGTGTGTTTTTTCCCTCCTGACAAATCTGGGACAGAAGAAGAGCCTTCAAGCACATGAGAGCATTGATCCGCCGGCCGAAAATGCACCGAGCATCCTGGGGTACCCTCCCCAAAATGCACGAGAACATCCAACAAGCATGAAGAACATCGGGCGACCCTCCCCGAACCGACCTCGAGCTCACAAGCCACTATGACCGTACAATCGTCATGCTGCCATCAGGAGCGCCGAAAAAGGAATCAAAACGATGTCATGGTCGCGGCCACGCGCAGGTCCCGTGATCCAGATCGAACGAACGGCCCGAAAGCCAGAGCCCCTCCTGTGCCAGAAGAAGTCATCACATCAGCGCCTGGAGCGTATGGTCCGCTCGGTGGAGACGAGACATGAGAAGCGCGAGCCCTGCTGGTGGCAAGACGAAGTTGAGTAACGTTTGAAGGTAAGGCAGACCTGATGAAGACAAGGCACACCTGGTAAAGACGAGGCACGCCTGATGAAGGCAAACCACACTTGATGAGGACAGGGCATGCTCGGAGAGGACGAGGCACACTTGATCCGCGTCTTGACAGTATGGGCACGCTTGGTGCAGGCAAGGCACGCTTGATGAAGGCTGGACCAGCGCGAGCGCACACGCTTGAGGAAAGCGGGGCACGCTTGATGCAGATTAGACCAACGCGAGCGTACACTTGAGGCAGACAAGGCACGAGAAGGTCGAACTCGCGAGGGCCTGTATCTGCAGGCCGCTTCTCCTTGCGCTTCTGCACCAGCGCGAGGAGGTCGGCCTGCCCCGATGACTGCCTACCAGACCACCCCAACCCAACCCGAAGACCCGAATTGGACCCGAATGTCGGGTTGGGGGGGGTACGGATGCCATGTGCTTCTTCAGCGTTTCCCGATCCCCCCCCCCCACTGGAAATGGAGGGCAAATTGAGGCCTTCGGGTTGGGTTGGGGTGGTTTGGTGGGTGGTGACCCGAGGAGAGCGGCCCGGGGCGGCGAGAGCGGAGCAGCAGCAGGCGCGCACGGGAGCGCTGCCCTTCCTTCTCGGCGGCGTGCGCAGAGGGGGGGCACAGTGGGGGCTCGGCCGCAAGAGACCTCCGCAAGAAGCCCAACCCTGACGTCCGCGATGTGTTCCGCGGATGTCCAGATTCGTCGATCGAGAATCATCCAGGTCTCATTGGGGCCCATCGAAATCCAAGCAACCCAGGGCACCCTGGCAAAATAGGAGGAGGCTGCTTCTCCGAAGGCGCGGGCCCTAGATCTACAGACAAGGCCCGCACCTTCTTAGAGAAGCAGGGCGCTGCTAAGACGCCCTCCCTCCCCCCCCCCCTGCCCCCCTTTCTGCGCGTGCCCGAGAAACGGCGGGGCCGTGTTTCGCCGTTTCCCCCCCCCCCCCTCCAAAAAAAACTGCCTCTAGAGCAAAGCACGCTCCTGGAAATGAAAGACCTGCTCCAGGATTGTAACCAGAAGCAAAAAATGAAAAAAACCAGCGACGGAATCGGCAAACACCCTGCATAGCATATCGGAACCGCTCTTTTTTGTATTTTTTTGTCGAAAAAAAAGTTGGGGCATCTCGCCGCCCTAACAAAGGAAAGCAAGGCAATTCAACCGAAGAGCAGAACAGACGCTTACAAATGGTGACCAGGTCATTCAAGAGGCCGGCCCTGAACGCAGGAGCCCGAAGACTTGGTAGGACCTCCGTTGACGTGTCTCTCTCTCTCTCTCTGTCCCTTTGTCGCTCTATCTTTCTCTCTCTCTCTCACTCTCTCTCTCTCTCTCGCTTTCTACCTCCCGCTGACATATTTGAAGACTTTCCTTAAGAGATACTGCGCGCGCTCGTTGAGGCTACATCGCGAGCAAGTGGTGTGGCTTCCACATCTCAGGGCTCGACAAATTACGCGCGCTTTGCATACAAGATCTTCGGGAATTCTCGGGATGTCTTAGGGCCGACTGTGGAGGTATTGGAGCCGAGACGTCTTGGGCCGTGCTGGGGGAGTCCTTGGCACGCCTCCCGACTGCCTGGGGATATTCGGGGCCCTCCGCGGGCCTGGGCGCGGTGGATGTGGGCGGGACTCGAAAAAGTGCACCTGGGGAACCCAGGACCCCCTGTCCGGGTGCGTGTGCGTGTAATCACAGATTCGGGGGCAGGGGAAAACACACGTATACATTTGTGTATAGATGCGCGTGTGACCAATGTGTACACGAAGTGTTTGCTCTCTCTACATACATATATACATAAGTCCATACACACCTACGTATACATATACATATACACATACGCATGTGCATAAACATAACCATAAACATAAACATAAACATATACATATATATAACTATATACACATATACATATACATATACATATACATATACATATACATATACATATACATATACATATACATATACATATACGTGTACGTATACAAATACGTATACGTATACAAATACACATATATATACACACATATACATTTACATTTACATATGTATATACATATGCATATACAAATACATATACATATACATATACATATATATTACACATATACATATGCATATACATATATATATATGTATATTTATACATACGCAACTATGCATATGCAAATACATATACACACACATACATGTACATGTACACATATATATATATACAAACATGCATAGACATATACATATACCTATACATATACATATACATATACATATACATATACATGTACATATACATATACATATACATATACATATACATGTACACATACATATACATATGCATTTGCATATACATATACATATACATATACATATATGAACATCCACATCCACATCCACATACACATACACCTACACATACACATACAGATACCTGTACACATACATATACACATAAATATACATGTACATAAACATATACATATACATATACCTCTACATATACATATACCTATACATATACATGTATATAAATATACATATACATCTACATATACATATACATATACATTACATATAAATAAACGTGTACGCATACATAAACATATGTATATAGTTTTATGCACGTGTGCTTATGTCGTGAAAACATAAATTTACATATATATATATATACACGAGAACCATCGGGCGCACTTCGCGCGCGCTCAGGTTCTAGCAGGCCAGGCCTTGACGAATTCACTGCTCCACTGAAGTAGTGGACCACAGTCCACGCATGCCAATCTGCATTCCGAAAGGCCTTCGAGGAAAATGGTTGTGTAGGGGGGCGGAGGCCGTATGAATCGGGTTCCCATAAGGCCTTCTGGAAGCATGGGTTAAGGGGGGGCTTGGGGAGCCTGTTGGGGCGGGCCGTCGTCGTCGTCGTCGTAATGTCGTCGTCGCCTATTGGGGCGCACCGTCGTCGTCGTCGTCGTCGTCGTCGTCGTCGTCGTCGTCGTCCTCGTCGTCGTCGTCGTCGTCGTCGTATTCGTCGTTTCGTCGTCGTCGTCGGTTCAAGAAGGCACTTGGGGCAACTTTGTGCGAAACGATCTGCGGAGGGCAGCGAGAAGGCGATCAGTCATGCTCCCAATCAACTTCCCAGACAGCTCTCCTGTAGCATGATGGTATTTCGAAGCCTCCGGAGACTCGCGGGCCCATGATGAACCATGTCCCCGGAAGGCCTTCTGGGGACATGTTTGTTGGGGTGTGTTGGGGGGTCTCTTGGGCGTTCCCTGGGGGCCCCTTGGGGGCCTCCGGGAACTCTCGGGCCCATGATGAACCATGTCCCCGGAAGGTTTTCCGGGGACATGATTTCTTGGGGTGTGTGGGGGGGCCTCTTGGGCGTTCCCTGGGAGCCCCTTGGGGGTGTCTTGGGGCTTCCTGGGGGCCTCTTGGGCGCCTCACGGGGCTTCGTGGGAGCCTCTTAGTGACCTCCGGGGGCCTACAGGCGACCTGGGGCCAGAGACCTCGAAATATCGGTTGGCGGTCCCCCTGTGGGCCCTCTCTTGGGGAGCTCTTGGGGCACAGTTGGGTTGTCTGGGGAGCCTCCTGGGCCGTCTTGGGGTCTGAAGGGCCTCCAAGCGAGGCCGTGAGGGAGCGCTGGGAAGCGGGGAAAGCGAGAACGCCAAAATCATTCAAAAACCATCGGAAAATTAGTGAGTCTTGCCTCCCAGGGCCCTCTTGGGGAGCCTCTTGGGTCCGTCCTGGGGCGTGTTGGAGTCCTCGTCGGCCGTCTAGGGCAGCTTGGGCGTCTTCGGGGCCTCTTGGGACCGTCTAGGGCCCTCTCGGGACCTCCATTAGCCTGTCGTGGCCTGCTTCGGGGCGGTCCAGGGCCGCCTCGGGACCCCTCTGGGCCTTCTCTTGGCGCGCTCTTGGGGCACACTTGGGTTGTCTGGGGAGCATCCTGGGCCGTCTTGGAACCTCGTCAGGGCCTCGTGGGCCTTCTTGGAGCGATCTGAAGGGCCTCCGAGGCCGTGAGGGAGCGCTGGAAAGCAGGAAAAGCGAGAACGCCAAAATCCAAAACACTCAGAAAATCAGTGAATCTTGCCTTCCAGGGCCTTCTTGAGGAGCCTCTGGGGTCCGTCGTGGAGGGTGTTGGAGTCCTCGTCGGCTGTCTTGAGGGCATCTTGAGCGTCTTCGGGGCCTCGTGGGACCGTCTTGGGCCCTCTCGGGACCTCCATAGCCTGGCGTGGCCTGCTTCGGGGCGGGCTCGGGCCGCCTTGGGAGCTCTGGACCCCCCCCCCCGCAACCCCTGGTGGGCACCGATGGGGGGAACAGGCAGCGGCCCGCCCACCCCCCCGGCCTACTCCGAGATAGATAATCATGCTCCCGGGAAGCTCTCCGGGAGCATAATATTTGTTCGGCTCTCTTAAGAGGGGGGCCTCTGGGGGCTTCCCGAGGGGCGCCTTTTGGCCTTGTCGGCAGGCCTATTGGAAACATGGTTGGGGCGGTGGGCGGAAGAATCATGTTCCCGGAAAGCTATCTGGGAAATACGATTTACCGAAGTGTCTTGGGGGCCAGCAGGGGGCTTCCCTGGGGGCCCCTTGGGGGCCTATTGGGGCTTCCCGGGGGCCTCTTGGGAGCCTCACGGGGCTTCTTGGGAGCCTATTGATGGCCTCTGGGGGCGTCCTAGGAGCCTCTCAGGCCGGAGATCTTGAAATGTCGCGCTCTTCGGGCCCTCTTGGGTCGCTCTTGGGGCTCCCTTGGGGCGCTCTCGAGGCCCTCTTGACTTATCTGGGAAGCCTCCGGGGCCGTCTCTGGGCTTGCTTGGGCGCCTCTTCGGCCGTCTTGGAGAGATCTGAAGGGCCTCTGACGCGGTCCGGGACCGTGGGGAGGTGGAACATAGGAGAGCGCAAAAATGCTTCAAAAACCAGTCGAAAATTTATAATTTTCGGCTTCGGGGCGTTTTGGCGGCGTCGTCGGCCGTCCTGAGGCCATCTTCGGCGTGTCCGGGGCCTCTGGGGGCTGTCTTTGGGCGTTCTGGGAGCCCGGAAATCATGCTCCTGGAGAGGCTTCCGGGAACATGATTTCGAACGGGGCCTCCCTGAGGCCGTCTTGGTGGCCTCCTGGGCCGGCTTCGGGGCATCTTGGGCCGTCTTGGGGGATTCCGTGAGCCCCACTGGCCGACCCTTTTGGGCCGTCTGGGGCCCTCTTGAGTCTCTCTTGGACTGTCTTGGGGCTCCTCGGGAGCGTCTGGTGCACTGCGAAGACAAAGCCAGCGAGTATGCTGAAAATGTGCGTTTTACTATGGAAATGGGCCGATGTTTGCCTCTTGAAGGCCCTCTTGGGGCCCTCTTCGGCATCTTCAAGCCATCTCGGGCCCTCTTGGGCCTCGCTGAGGCTGTCTTGTGGGCCTATTGGGCGTCCTGGGAGCCCGGAAATCATGTTCCCGGAGAGGCTTCCGGGAACATGATTTCGAACAGGGCCCTCTTGGGCCTCCCTGAGGCTGTCTTGGGGGCCTCCTGGGCCGGCTTCGGGGCATCTTGGGCCGTCTTGGGGAGTTCCGTGAGCCCACTGGCCGACCCTTTTGGGCCGTCTGGGGCCCTCTTGGGTCTCTCTTGGGCTGTCTTGGGGCTCCGCGGGGGCGTCTGGGGCACTGTGAAGACGAAGCCAGCGAGTATGCTGAAAATGTGCGTTTTACTATGGAAATGGGCCGATGTTTGCCTCTTGAAGGCCCTCTTGGGGCCCTCTTCGGCCATCTTCAAGCCATCTCGGGCCCTCTTGGGCCTCGCTGAGGTTGTCCTGGGGCCCAGTAGGGGGCCCTGGGAGCCAGGAAATCATGTTCCCAGAGAGGCTTCCGGGAACATGATTTCGAACGAGGCCCTCTTGGGCCTCCCTGAGGCCATCTTGAGGGCCTCTTGGGCCGTCTCGAAGGGGTTCCGTGAGCCCCACTGGCCGACCCTTTTGGGCCGTCTGGGGCCCTCTTGAGTCTCTTCTGCTGTCTTGGGGCTCCTCGGGAGCGTCTGGTACACTGCAAAGACGAAGCCAGCGAGTATGCTGAAAATGTACATTTTACAATGGAAATGGGCCGAGGTTTGCCTCTTGAAGGCCCTCTTGGGGCCCTCTTCGGCCATCTTCAAGCCATCTCGGGCCCTCTGGGGCCTCCCTGAGGCTGTCTTGTGGGCCTCTTGGGCGTCCTCGGAAGGTGTAAATCGTGTTCCCGGAGAGGCTTCCGGGAGCATGACTTCGAACGAGGCCCTCTTGGGCCTCCCTGAGGCCGTCTTGGGGGCCTCCTGGCTGGCTTTGGGGCCTCTTGGGCCGTCTCGAAGGGGTTCCGTGAGCCCCACTGGCCGACCCTTTTGGGCCGTCTGGGGCCCTCTTGGGTCTCTCTTGGGCTGTGTTGGGGCTCCGCGGGGGCGTCTGGGGCACTGTGAAGACGAAGCCAGCGAGTATGCCGAAAACGCACGTGTTACGAAGGAAATGGGCCGATTTGTGCCTCTTGAAGGCCCTCTTGGGGCCCTCACGGGCCCTCTTCGGCCGCTTTTGGGCGTCGTCGGGGCCTCTTCAGGCTTTCGTGACCATCTGCACGGCCCGCGTGGCCTGTCATGGGCAATTTGGAAGCGGCCCGGGGCAGTCCCGGGGGGTCTGTGACCCCCCAAAGGTTCGGGGGGGCGGCCATGGGGGATGACGGCACAGATTTTGGGCCCCCCCGGCCTACTCATATATATATATATATATAGAGAGAGAGAGAGAGAGAGAGAGAGAGAGACAAGACTGCATTGGCGCTGCGCGCCATGCACCTTGGTCCTTTGAGTTCCGCACGCAAGCGGAATGCGTGCGTGCGTACATGCGCGCATGCATGTATACACGCGCACGCGCATGCACGTTCCGTATATATGTCTAGGTGTACACTATATACTTACATTGTTGTATGCGTGTATACTGCGTACATATGTACATATAAACTTATGTGTCTAAGGGTATGAACATGCATATGCAACTCGCACGTGCTTTGTCGGTGCACGCCCATAGGTGTGTGTATATATATATGCATTTGTATATGTATATAACTACGCATATTGTGAAAGTTGTTGGGGGCATCCTCGGGCATCTTCGCTGCATGCCACGAGACTCTCAACGACTGGGTCACAATGTGGAAAATCATGGGAGCAAAATCAATGAATGTTGGCCTTCGGAGGGCTGTTTTCGGGGCCCTCGTGGGCCGTTTTGGCGCCTTCATGGGCCGTCCTGGGGCCTTCTTGGGCCGTCTTGGGGAGCTTGGGCCCGCTGGAGCCCCCTTTGGACCCATCTTGGGCACTTCGGGGACCTCCCATGGCCCTTTCGGGTCTGTGCTGGGAGCCCATGGGGGGCCTTTGGGGTCCATTATGGGCTGTCTTGGGGCTCTCGTGGGCGATCGTGGGGCCCGGCTCGGCCGTCTTGAAGCTTTCTTGCGGGCCTTTTGGGGCGTCTTGAGGCGATCTCGGGGGCTTTGAAGCCGCCTTGAAAGCTGATGAAATCCGAAAGGCTAATATGCTAAAATTGTAAGTTTTACGAAGGGAATGGGACGATTTTTGTGTTTCGAAGGCCCCTTGGAAAGCCTTTGGGGGTGCCTTGGGGGTCTTTGGGGCCGTCCTGAAGCAATTGGAGTCCCTCTTGGAGCGCTCTTGTGCTGTAATGGGCCTCCCTTGAGCCTTTCTGATGACCCCTCTGATCGCTCAGGGTCTGCTGGCAAAGCGTTTGTGGAGACCCGGAAAGCCGGGTGACCTTTTCCAAGGACGTCCTAGGGAGCCCGAGAACCCCAGATCCCGGGGATCCAGTTTTTTTTTGGGGGGGGACAGTTCCCCCCCCCCTGGGCTTGTAAAAATATAGGAAGAGGAACCTATATGTATATATATATATATATATATATGGACAGCCCCCCCCCCAGCGCCCATTCTTGGCCTCTGGTGTTTTGGCGATGTTATACGCTCCTCTTCCTTTCCTCCTCTCTCTCTTTCTCTCCCTCTCTCTCTCTCTCTCTTTCTCTCCCCCCTGTGCGCTTCAGAAGAAGAGGAGGACGACGAGGAGAAGGAGGAGGAGGAGGATGAGGAGGAGGAGGAGCTGGAGGAGGAGAAGGAGGAGGGGGAGGAAGAGCAAGAGCGACAGAGAGAGGAACACAGAGAGGGACACACAGAGAGACTGAGGGAGAGGTAGAGAAAGGTGGAGAGAGAGAGAGAGAGAGAGAGTTGAGGGAGCAGCGATCCCTGTGGAATCACAGGGTTAGCGTCGTCAGGGGTCGCCAAACCCTGTGTTTTCATTTGGATTTTTGGGATTTCTGGGATGAGAACCAAGGAAACCATTTGTTTTCATTGGGATTTTTTTGATTTTTGGGATTTTCTCTTTCCAGAGAATAACAACCCAGGAGCCTCCGAAGCTTCAGAACCTTAGAAATCCCAAAGATCCCAAAAATCCAAATGAAAACACATGGTTTCCTTGATTCTCATCCCAGAAATCCCAAAAATCCAAATGAAAACACAGGGTTTGGCGACCCCTGACGTCGCTAATCCTGTGATTCCACAGCGATCGCTGCTCCCTCAACTCTCCCTCCCTCTTTCTCTCTCTCTCTCTCTCTCTCTCTCTCTCTCTCTCTCTCCCCCCACCTGTGCGCTTCAGAAGAAGAGGAGGACGACGAGGAGAAGGAGGAGGATGAGGAGAAGGAGGAGGAGGAGGAGGAGGAGCTGGGCCAGGAGGAGGAGAAGGAGGGGGAGAAAGAGCAAGAGCGACAAATGAGAGGGACACAGAGAAGGACACACAGAGAGACTGAGGGAGAGGTAGAGAAAGGTGGAGAGAGAGAGAGAGTTGAGGGAGCAGCGATCCCTGTGGAAT